ACATCACACAGAGAGCAAACATATTTTTTTTTCAAGGAAACTACATCTAACGATACAAGTATGGTAGATACTTGTACACCTCAGACAAGAACAGATAACCAACTATCAACTTTTAAGGAAAATATAGGATTTTCCTTGGATAACTCAACCTTACATAAACAGACTGTTAATCAAATAACGAAGGGATAATCAAACATCTTTCATAAGAAAATGTAGGATTTTCTTGGGAAACACTTTTCAAAGGATCAAAGAAACATTTCTTTCACCAGAACTAAACGCTTATGAACTCACCAGCTTTATGCTGATATTTTAAAACTGTTTGTATTCTCAGGGTATTAGTAGACATGTACTTCCAGGAGTTCGGAGAAGTTGGAGCGTCAGAGTCACGTCGTTACTATTTCACTTTTGCTATGAACAAAACTATGTATTAAACAATGTAAACCTTTTTTCACATATGTATTCAATGTCTGGTTGTGTTTACTATGCTTGTTATGATACAATTGTTGTGATACTACGCATGACGCCCTCCGCCCCAGAACGTTTCCGCCGTTCCGGTTTTGGGGTGTGACAGATCAAGTGCCAAAGGTACGGATCATACAGAAGGGGGTTTGGAGCACCTAGAAGAGGTTTGGAGCACTTGGGAGTGATATGGAGCAACGAGGAGACATTGTTGCGCCATTCGTTGAAGAGTTGGGCCAAGAAGGATGTTGTTGCGCAAAGAGCACTCCTTTTTGCGCCATGGAGAGTCCATCTTGCGCCATGAAGAAGCCTTGTTGCGCCAAGTAGGTTCTTGTTGCGCCAAGCATGTCCTTGTTGCACCAATATCGTCCTTGTTGCGCCAAGGTGATGATGTTGCTCCAACATAGAAGTTTTTGCGCCACTCTTGATGCCCTGTTGCGCCATCATGGTGCAAGATGGGCCCTTTTGGTTCCTTGATGAGCCATGGTATCCTTGATGAGCCAAGTATGTTATGAAGTCCTCAATGATGTTCAAGATCGTTCAAGGATGCTCTAAAGTTGGTATTGCTCAAGGATTACACCATGTTGTGCCACCATAATGGATGTTAGGCCATTAGTGTTCATGATGCGCCACTTGTACATCATGATGCTCCATTATGGCACAAGGTGCTTCATCATGTGTGCTGTTGATGCTCATGGGTCGTATGACATGGAAAAATGTTCCAGAAGATGTTGCATGGCGGAATATGATTTGTTGCCACCATTCATGGATCTATGGGCCAATGGGTTTGGCCCATTAGGGTTTTAGGTCTGATCCCTCTAGTATAAATAGGGATGCGTGCAGAGGCATTTGAGGTGTATTGTGTCTTGTATCTTGAATTCTAAAGTGTTAGACGACGAATCTTTGGTGAATTGTACACTTAACCTCTGTTTGAGAACTCTGAAATATAAAATATTCTCATTCTACCTGTGGACGTAGGTCACCTTTACCGAACCACGTATATATTGTGTCTTTTGTGCTTATAGTTTTGCTTGTTATACACATTACTTCCAAACAAGGGTCATCGAAAGTTGGCAAGTGACATCAGATTTGTTCTGAGTTTTGACAAGTATCATCTGTTTTCCCTAACAATATGAAATTTCAATTGGTAATTGAACATTAATTATCTCTTAAAACCTTTATTACCGACAATATTTCACATGTGAAAGACGCAAGGGCACAATTTTTTAACTATATAGATAACGAGAAACGGTTTGTCAGTTTCTTACTCTTCCAGTAAATCAATGACTCCCTAAGAAAGAGATGAAAGTCAGTTCCAGATCTTCCGTTGTTAAGATATTTGGCCTGATCAACATCCACACATGCAACAAGATTAATATTACTTTACTTTTTATAATGATCTTATAACCAAAACTAGACTTAAGATATTGTAAAACTCTAATAACCAAACATAAATAAAAAATTTGTGATAATCCATAAACTAGCTCAAAGTCTTAATAGCAAATGAAATGTATGGAGGAGTGATAGTTGGGTAAATAAGTTTTCCTATAAGGTTTTGAAAACCAATATAATCACTCAAATGACAATCATCTATATTCGGATCATCCTTATTATTAATAAAACAAAAATATCCAAGTGTGTAGCCCACACTTTACAACTAAGCACACCATCTTCATATAAAGTGGTTCAAGAGTATATTTTCGTTGAGACATAAACAACCCATTGTTGGTTTTATTCATGGTTCTAAAAAACGCGCAGGCGCGTCATGGCGCAAGGCGTGGTGTAGCCGTTACGAAAACGTCCAATGCGGGTTTGTTAAGTGTGTCGCCCAAATAACGTGTCAAGGCGCGTCTTATCACGATATGGTGCGAGTTTTTTTTTAATTTTTTTTATCGGGCCTAAAATAATTGAGTTTTTGTTAACTTTTTATATTAAATATTAATATAACACTTCTAAAAACTTGATATACTTGATAAAAATCATGAATTATATGATTTATCTATTTTAATATATTATATATATATATATATATATATATATATATATATATAAAATAGTCACGCCTTGAAAAACGTCATGACTCGCCAAGGCTTGTCATGACTTCACTTTTACCTTGCCGCCAAGCTACATCTCGCGTTATTTAGAACATTGATTTTAATCATCTCGATTAAAGATTTTTTTTCGCAATTTCTAAGTCTTTGATAAAAAACTTAGTTTATAAAAAGTCGTTTACTTTAACAATTTCTTTTTTAGAGTAGCAAATAACAATGATTTCATTAACATAGACCAAAAAGCAAGATCTCTCTTAAATGTAAATAAAGAGTAATCAAATTTTCTTTACTCAAGGCCTTATCAGTTTTAGTATACACTAAGGTGTTATTTGTTTTTTCTGAGGCAAAATGTCTGCAGTCTGCGGACCACGTCTGTAGACCTCTGCAGTAAAAGAGGTGGACCAAACGTCTACAGTCTGAAAAAAGAAGACTGTTTGTTTTTTTAACATCTGCGGGCTACTAAAATAAATTGAAATCTCAATAAACTGATTTTTTTAAACTTCAAAGTGATTTTTTAATATTTTTATGACTTTGTTATAAATAATTAACAAATCTAGATCAACTTTTATGTATTATTTTATAAAAAATAAAAATAAAAATGGTATGAATTAACGTATATATTTGATAAAAACCAACAACTTTGGTTGCAAAGTTATAACTAAACATTATAATTAGTGATCAAAGAATTTGATACATAAATGGATGGAAATAAACTTCGATTTTTTCAATTAAATCCATTAAAAACGTACCATAAATATTTTCTCGAGAAATTGACGATACTGTATTAAATAATGTTTTATAAAATTTGGCAAAAAAATATAAGAATATATTATGATTTTTTTTTCATATTTATATAAACAACTTCAACGACTATTATTGTAATAAATCTTTATTTATAAATTTGTCAAAAATATCATGTCTGTATCGTTGAACGTTTTTTTTTTTTAAGTTTTGTAATTTTTTTTTCAAATTGTTTATCGTTAATAAAGATGGAAAAAATATAAATTAAAAAAAAAAACTTAAAAAAATAAAGATATATATGTTTTTTTAGGCTTGAAGATGTCTGAAGATGTTAGAAGACTTTGGTCCACATCTGCGCCAAGAAGAGGGAGCGCAGACATTTTTAGGTCTGCAGTCTTCAAAAAAACAAACAGTCTGCAAACGCTAATGTCTGCGCGTGGTCTGCGCGGCGCAGACAGAAGAGGTCACGCAGATCTGCAGACAAAAAACAAACACTACCTAACTCTTCATTTCACTTTTTATGGGCTTGTTTAAGTCCGTGAAATTTTTTTTCAATTTACCAACTCTATAAGAAGTGTAATGAAAAATCACTTTTGTATAATTTAGTCAAGTTTTGTATATGATTTACGAGTAAAGTCATCCAAGATGTTCATAACCTATCATTTTGACTTGGTATCGCAGGTTAATATTTTTTGTGTACATGATTCATCATTAAACTTTGTATACATGATTTATTATTAAACTATGTCCCAGTTATTTATTCCGAACAACACTATTCACTCCCACCACCACCGTTTACCTTCCACCGCTACCAACACCTATAGCAACAAACATTCCTTCTATCACCACTCATCTTTACCATTTACTACCACCACCACCAAAAGAGGGAAACGGAGTAGGGTGAATTTCACAAAGTAGTAGGAGAGGGAAGGTAATAGGGAAATGTATAAGAAGAGGCGAGAGAGATGCCAATGATTAAAGGGTGTGTAGAATAGAGGTGATAAACCTGACATTCGTATCGTGTTTATAGATGACACGACACAACATGACAATTTTTATATAACATGAACACGACATAACTTGATATCGTGTTTTATTTTACTATAACAAAAACGATCCAAACTAAAAAGGGGAAAAAACAACACAACAAACATGTAAAATAAAAAATAAAATAAATATTTAGCTTATTCAATTCATCATTAATCTTACAAAACATTAAAAATAAAAAATAAAATAAAATAAAAACACAACAAACTCCTGTTAATATCATGTCAAATCTAGAACACGAACATGACTAGACACAATATCGTGTTTTTTTTCACTTGACACGAACACGAATTTGGATTTCAGTTGTCATAATTTTCATTTCGTGACTTTTCATGGATTGTCACCCCTAATTCATGCGAACGTTTTCACCGGAGATCGAGAAGGAAAATACTGCACTTTTAAATGTTTTTAAAAAATAAACAAGTAAATTGTTGGTTTCTTTCTTCTTTGGAATTGTTTGGGCCGGAGAACCCAATAAAAAGTTTGATGACAACCGGAAAAATTGAAGGCGGCTTAATGTATATTAAAATTAGTTTAATAGTAAATCATATATGAAAATATAAGTTTAATAGAATTTTTTTGAAGAGAAGATAGATATGGAACCGATTAAAAGAATATTTTTTAAACAATAAATATAAATTTAATAGTAAACTAGAAATGAGGCCCGTGCGTTGCACGGGTCGGTTTTTGTTGTTGATGTTTGGCAGGTCACGAAAGTAGGATGCTATAATGTCATTCAAATACTAAGCAACTATATAGATTGAATAGAGTATAATATCAAATACATGGAAATATGAAAAGATGCAACAAATAGCAATGTACTTTGTTTGTTGGTAAAAAAATGAATTACAAAAAAAAAACAAAAAAAAAGATGTAAATTCAAAGCGCATTGCTATTTAGTGCACTTAAAATGAAAAAATGGAAATTACACATAATGGCAATAAAACCATTACTGCTGAAATTGGAAGAACCTAAAGAACTGTAGCCTCCACATCCTTTGCCTCTCAAATTCCAGCTGCAAGTGTAAAAAATGTCTACATATATGTTTATATAAGCACAACTTGTGGGCATTATAGATATACACAATCAATAACATCAGAAACTTAAAAAAGTGCATCATAATGCAAAAGAAAAACGAAAAAAAAATAGAAATAATAGCCAAGCCATTTTGTTCTGTTGTTCTATTAAAATACAGAAAAAAACCATTATATAAATTTAGCCACTTGAAATATTTCTTTTTTAGATTTTCATCATAATACTTTGGTGGATAAATCATCAAAAACTAATAGTTTAATGACTAAATCAATAAAAAAATGTTAGTGTAGTGGCTTAATTAGTAAATAAAATTTTTAGACGATAAAAAAAACATAATGATAAAAAGATTTTCTCGTATATCCTCCTGTGTCGCATCTTGAATGTTTACTTTTATATGTTTCAAACATCTTTAATCTTTTGTTTATCTTCAACATCTTCGTATTTTTATGCATTTTAATAAATTTGAATCATTTGAAATCTTTTACGAATCTTAAACATCTCTATAGTTTTACATACCTTGAACATCTTGGGACTTTTACACTCCTCATTGGTTTCATATAGTAAAGCATTTACAATATGTTTTTCTTTGCATTCTAGATATCATTGAAATTCTGAATATATCAAGCATATAAAGCATTTAAAATATTTAAAATATTTATTTGCATTTTATTTGTCTTTAAGATCTTGATTGTTCGTCAAGATCTTTAAGACCGTGACAGTTCTTCAAGATCTTAAATATTTTTCAACATTTTAAACAGTTTATAGTTTTTCTTTCTTAAATCTTTAAACAAAACATCACGCATCACATACTAATTTGGTTACGAAATTATTATGTAGATTTTTTACTAAAATCTACAAATGAAGATATATATATATATATATATATATTATATATATATATATATATATATATATATATAACAATGAGAAAGTAAAAGCACAAAGTATATAAGATAAAAATACAATAAAATCAATAAAGTATGTACCTGTTAGGCCATTTCATCAAATCATCTTCAGTGGGCTTAAGTAACAAATCAACAGAAACTCCATTAATGGGTTTGGATTGAAGAAGATGGGAATTGTTCTCCTTGGTCCATACTCTGTTTCTAGCAAATCCATGGGATTTAAGAGGGCTAAGATTTGGAAACTGTATTCCACAAAACATATTGAATTGTCCCACATGACTCAGATTTATGAAAGATGAAGAAATTATATTTTTAGACATGTTTTTCTCTATTTCGTAACTTCATAAACCATTATATATTAAATATAGTGAGAAGAAACTATTATTAAAAAAATGATCTAGTTTTTTGAATAAAATGCTTTAGGAGGTTGCAAACATTTGATTATACTTTGAGTAGCTTCTAACTTGTTCAACCTATTAGATCCACTTTATTATTTTGAACATAGAGAATCCCCAAAATGAAAAAGCGGTAAACATAGTTTGGCAATTGAATTACTCTATCCCTCTATTCAGAATCAGTTTGACCACAAAATCAACTAATAACTCCCAATTTCGTTATAACTATCAATTCTGAAGTAAAAAGAAAGATAAAACCCAAGAAACGTAAAAGAATTATAGCCTTTGATGAGGAAAGACCTGATCATCTTCATATGTTAAAAAACAGAATATTACCTTCTCAAGTGTCAAAAACATTATGACATTCCACGATTATAGCCGACCAATATTTGAGAGGAATCTTTTATAGAATGCTAGGCTTTCTGGTCATCAATCAGATATTAAATGATGATAATGATATTATAAAAGAATCAAATCAGGAAACCAGTAATAATCAAATAAGTTAACTCTTAAGGTTTTAACCATACAATCGACAGTGCTTTTGTACATCAGAAATACAGTAACCATAAACAAATTGAGTTTATTATAATTAAGTATCCAAATGAACAACAACTTACATTTCTTGAACCGAGAGGTTGTTGTTATTTCAATTTTCGATTATTTGACAAGGAATAAATACTACAGGGTTGCCCAAAAGGTTGTACCTTTAAATTAATTATGCCAATGGCTCTGTAATAGATACAAAAGACAAAATTAACTCCTTGAAGCGTCATCCAATTAACCTGCACATGGAAAAGAAATCATACCCATATCAGACCATAAGATCAATTGGAAATGTTTGAGGAGATGACATCACTCAAAATCACATATTCTACTCACATTCATTCAAAATTGATACAAGCTTGAAAACACAATTAATCCCAGATGTGGAACAATATCTTCAAACCAAAAAAAAAAACTGCTAAAAGAAGATTATTAAAGATTACCTTCAGCTGATGTTTAATGTTTTCTAAAAACCCATCAGATTTCCTCTTTCCAGACACCACCAGCCCAGGAAGCAACCCAACACCCAAAACGACCCAAAAAAGGTAATAAAAACTGCAAAATATAAAAACAGAATGTAGAAAGCACAATAACAATAATAACAACAAATAAAAACGAAAACAAAGCGAAACATGAAGTAAAAAAATATACCATAAGAAACACATGACCTACAAAATAGAAACAACAAAATGTAATAAAAACACAAAATACATGATAATTGAAGACCAAAAGAAACAAATAAGTACGTCATAATGTATCAATAATGATTCAATAATCTCATTGAACTAATTAAACATCAACATCACTTCATTTAATAATTACAAAATGAAACAAATTTATGTATCAGGTCCCCTGTTCTCGCTCTCAATCAACATAACTTCAAGAACTTCAGTTCATGTTTTAATCTAACAATTCCCATTGGCCATTTGAAAAAAAACTAAAGCAAGAGATATGGAACTATCTTGAGCAGATTTTTATATGCACAGAAGAAAGAAGAATAGAGGGAGAAAACTTACCTGACAGCTGAATTTAGAGAATTGTTATATCTGCAAAGTTTACGAAATTAGCCCCTTACGCCTTCTGTCGGACCTGCGACAACCATCCCCGTTTTTAATCTTGTAGCGGTGTTACATATATAATCGAAGATTCAGGCTTCCAAATACAAAAACGAACAATTAAGTCGCAGAAGATATCACCCCAAAAAATTTGGAACAATCGGAAGATATTAGATAAGAAGGAAGCCCTAAAATTAAGACCGATGAAGTGGTTTGGTGTACTCCGATTCTACGAAAAACCATTTTCTGTTGGTTTCAGTATTAAGAGCGATGAAGTGGTTTGGTGTACTCCGATTCTAGGAAAAACATTTTTTTGTTGGTTCCAAGAACTGAAATAAGAGAAGTGTGCGTTTTTTTTCATGTTTTCCACCCATCGGGGCCACATCAATCGCCGATCGCACCATCTCCAACAATCCACGCCGTTGGAAAAGCAAATGTTGTTGCCTGGTTTAGCAGATGGTAAAGTGAATAGACGAAACATTAACATATGAAGATGAAAGGACGATGAATTAGAGAAACAAATCGACCAAAAAAAAAACAGATCGACCTAAAAAAAACCAACACTCATTAAAACGAAAAATTACATATGTCGTCGCTATCTTGCTAGGTCGGAGTGGAGGCTGTGTTGTTGCAATGGTGAATAGAAGTCGATGACAGTCGGTGAGTAGTAGCTGAAGACTTCCCGAGGATAGACCACCAAATCAAAGGAAGATGATGATCGATGGCGACGTAAGGGTAAAGGGATAATGTTCATCGTGAGGAGAAATGGAGAACATCTTGGCTAACAAAAGCGGTGGAGGAAGTAGATTCAAAACACGTGTAACGCTGATTGGCAGCAGTGGATGGTAGGAGCAGGTAACAACACTTATCAACTATCAAACATGCAACAAACCAAGAAAAGCAAAAGATCGAATTCCTTACCATGTAGAGAGTCCGGTAGGAGCGATGATCTTCATCAAGCCCTAATCGCAGGTCCAGATGAGGCGGCTGATGGTGGTGGCGATCGAGGTAAAAAAATACGACAGCGGTGGCGCCGCAGGTGGGGGGAAGGTAAGCAGAACCGGTCGGGGAAGGCGAGAAAAGTTATAAACAAATACGAAATTAACATAAGTTTGAATTAGTTATAGTCCGTTCTGAACTGACCCGAGTTTGGTTTAGACCAACACCGCTCAAGTCCACCAGATTATCTGCTTTGTGTAAAAGATGCATTTTTGTACTTTCCTCCTGCACCTGTAGTTACATATTCAGAAAAAGGTACATATCTGATAATATCAATTTCATGCTCACTTTGTTTTAGAGATTTCTTTTTTTATTTTTTCTTTTATGGGAAGACACCACAAACAAAGAAACTTTGGATGTTAAAGACTTCGTACCTTCAAATAACAAAAGGAAACAGGTTCATGTCAACTGAGCTGCTGCTATTTCCTAAACCTAAAACAAACCACAGGTAAATAAAAGTAATTCAGTTATCAGTTCCAATAGATTGATAACAAAAACAAATGCAAGATTTTACTTTGAAAAATCTTATCCAATTATGCAAATGTAAATGGATATTTGCATTTCCAGAGAATGGAAGCACATCCCAAGGATTCTGTAAATATAAAAAAACAATAAGATTGGAAAATTTTATAAAATTAAGAATCAATTAATTATTTTGAGGGAACTTACATCGGGTAAAGAAAGGCCATATCTTTGCATAAGTGCTGTGTTCCTCTGGCCACTCATGTAATTCACTGTCATCTGAAAAAAATAAAAATAAAGGTTAAAATTTTTATAGTAATGTAATTTCATTTCTTAAGATTATAGGATAATTAGCATTTAATAAGTAACATTCATCATGATTTTTACCTCTTCCCCTTTTTTAATCCTTTGTCAAGCATTTGTCATCACCTCAAACATTCAGTCTCTGAATCTCCAATGGAAAAAGAAATTTGGGTTGCAAGAATGGTTCAACATATCTGTGAAAAAAGGCCATAGTTATGAGATTCTATATTGAAGTAAAGGGTAAAAAAGGAATAAGAATAAAAAGCGTATACCTGCATAGGGAGCAAACATATTTGCATCTTGAACTAATGAACCAATTCTTATTCTGAAATGAATGTCTTGTTTGTGCCATACTAACTACCCAAACAAATCTTGCTGGATATCAGGCAAGTCATTTTACTTTCAAGAGCATATTAGAGTGCTAACAACATATACATATTAAACATACAGTAATTTGCATACCACCAGTTCACGATGAGAACATCAAACCCATACCGATTTCTACCAAGATGAAACGTCATAAACAAAAAGAACACTGATTCTTCTTCTTCTTTGTGAAGAGCCAAATGAAACAAACCCAAACAGCTCCATGTTTCACACTTTCACTTGATTTTTTTTTCACACTTACACAACAGTTGAATACCATTATTCAACTATTGAAAATAAAACTTGCAACCCGAAGATGATATTTTGCGTTTGGTTAAGCTGGGCATTTCTACAAACACATAGTGGGCATGGACACAAAGCTATACATGCACATGGAAAGTGGAAACAGCAAGGTGGTATGAAGAATAGGAAAAGTAATCGATTCTATTGTGAATATATACCAAAATACACACATATATACCAACATAAACACACATATAAAAAATCAAACCTTCATTTGTTTAGAAAAGTGAAGTAAAACGAACCTGAAATCAAATGTCGGTGTTGTACTTGTGGTAGTTGCAGAAGGAATTGTTAGTCCTTAGAGAAGGAGAAGGCAGGGGCGCTAGGTGTATGGTATATCCTTAAACTTGTAATTAAAAATGATTTCTTGGTCAGAAAAGAAAAAGAAAGAGAGAAAATGGAAGATAATTTTAACCAATCCGATTTCAGACCTTTCTATTAACTCTGAGCAGTTGTTTCATCGTGTAAGCAAACGAAAACAGAAAAACAGTTGAAGATAAACGAACCTGTAACTGGGGGGAGCGAAGGTCACCGATCGAAGGCTTCACATGGGAGTCGACGGCATACGGCGCCTCTTGAAAAGCCCTAAAAAAATCTTCTAACAATATCAAAATTGGAACTATAAAATGGTAAGCTGTGGAAGCATTACCTTCGAGTCCCGTCTCCGTCCCCGACTGTATCCATTCAGGTTGTTGGGTATGATCCGTCTGTCACCCGTTTTTCCCCCTGCTCCGTCCGTACAACTCCATTTTTTTTCAGGTCTTCGAGTTCCGATTTACAACAGCTGTCGATAATTCCAAAACCGAACCCCGCAGAGATGGAGGCTGTGGTAGAGGCTTATGTCGATCATGGCGGAGATAGAGGCGCTGGACCGGATGGTGGTGGCGATGAACATTAGCGGAGGAAGGAAGAGAGAGAAAGACAAGGTTTGGATAAGAAGCAGCGGAAGGAAGAACCTGGAAGGATCGACTAAGCGGATGTGGGGATAAAATGCCCTGTGGTTTGTGGGAAAATAGCAATCGGTGGAGAGGATAACGTACACGTGTGATAGTATAGGGACCGAAAACGTAATTCAAGGGACGAAAGTCGGACAAAATGTGTCGACTTAACTGTTCCTTTCCACAATTTTAATATATATATAATAATTATATAAATAAACTATTAAATATATACAAAATTAATATTTCATTACCATAAAAAAAATATTTTCCTGTATTTTATAGTGGGACAAAAGATGAGTGTTAATGTTACTACATTTTGCCAAACCATCAAAAGCGATTAGTTGATTGCTTTTAAATTTTAATGCAACATAAATGATCATTTATTAAAGGGTAAATTACACCAATCGTCCCTCGTGTATATGCCAGAAAGCGTGTTTAGTCCCTATTTTCAAAAATTAACTCGGACCGTCCCTCGTGACGTTAAAAGTTGCACGTTTCATCCCTCGTTAGTTTAAATTTGCACGTTTAATCCCTTATGACACATAAAAAGATTAAAATGCTCTTTTCCTTTACCTTTTCATTTATTTTTAACATTTTTGACATTTTTAATTATTAAATTTTATTTTAATTATTTTTCTATTTTGTTGAAGACCTGACCACCATCACCACAGGTAGTCTACACCACCTCCGGAAATTATAGCATCATCACCACCCCTCACCGGAAAATAGAGCACCACTTCCACCCCTCACTTCATCACATCCACTCCTCCGTTCAAAGCAAGTGTTTCACTAAAAATAACTAGAAAACTACCACCTTATTCACCGAACTAGTAACCTATACTTAAACCACCATTGAACCATCCACATTTACTGTTAACACCACCAGCAGCCTCCATCGGAAAATCCATCAGCAAATTAGGAAAGAATAATCAAGGCAAATCAGGAAGGAAGAATCAGGGCATGGCAATGTTTAATTCGAAATCAGGAAAGAATTTAGGGTTCTTAACCTGAAAGCAGACGGCGTCAGAGATGGAGGAGGAGATGAGTGACGGTGATGCAAATGTGATTACTGCGTGGAGTTTCTCTGGTAAGGCTTCGACGAGACCTTCTTTGTTGCCACCAACATCATCTTCTTCCCTATCGATATATGTATATTCCACCACCGTCTCAAACGAGTTTGAATAAAAGAACCATACGCCCCATTCTTCAATTTCAAATGACTCAATCTCGATTTTTGAAATGCCTCCATCCGTGTGAGATAAAGAACCGCGACATAGGGTGTCGGAATGGCCGTCTATGTAAGATTGGAGCTCTATTTGGGGATTTCATGTGTGATGGTACGAGAGAGAGGGAAAAAAGACGGAAATTAAGGTTGGTGGTTGTTAGAAGATTGACGGAGATGGAGTCGTCATTGCCACTTGTGTGCTCCCATCTACACTCCTCCTGGTGGGCGGCCAAGGTGAAAGGGGATGTCGGGAAACTGAAGGGAAAGAGTACGGTTGAACGTGTAATTGGGGGGGGGGGGGGGGGGAGGGAGGGTATTTATTTTATTTTATTCTTTTTTCAATTTTAAAAAATGATAAACAAATAATAAAAATATAAAAAAGAAATTACTAAGGGTAAAATAGTCATTTTATGACTTCAGGGACTGCCCGAGTGAAAAAAACATAATACAGGGACGGTCCAGGTTAATTTTTGAAAATATGGACTAAACATGTTTTCTGACATATGCACGAGGGAGGTACGGTGTAATTTACCTTTTATTAAATTGTAAAAATATTTGAATCGCAACATGGTTTTGCAACTCTTAATCACATAATGATACATTGGAAAACGCGCCTTGAGATTTCGTTCTACCTTACCTTCCTTGAACTCTCCGTTTTTAGTTTGCCACTAAATATCATACAATCTTTGCCGTTAAAACAATTATTTTGCATGATCAACGGTTGGAAAGGTATCAAGTGACACCATTCATGATAGCATGAGTCAAATTCGACTGCTTGCATGTCAACACCTCCAAACCTAACACCTCCCAGCCTATCATATATAACATGATTTCACCCGCACCAACATATATCGCCACAAATCTCCAACGTTAACTGACCATTAAGAATAATTAAAATGGTTAGTTATTTATCATTCTTTTATTAGCAACAATACAATGATATTTCGAAAACGTGTATATACAAAATGATTATGTTTTAAGATATGTATATAAAATGATTATCATGTCTATTTTATGTTTTAAGATATGTATATAAAATGTTTATCATATCTATTTTATGTTTTAAGATATTTATTTTGAATGGTTGCTACAAAAACAATTTATGCAATGATTGCTTGTATTTTCTTTCTACATCTATTATTAGTTACCAATTTATTGAGAAATTTAAATTGCTAGTTGATCATTACGTTTATTTAAATTGTTACTGACCAATATGTATTTTTTCATGTATGGAATTTTTGTTCTTCTGTGTTCAATAGAATTCTGCAATCGAAATCAAGGTGACCTTCCCAACACGGCTTTCATGCAAATTGATCTACTAGTAATTAATCTTGTTTTAGTAATTAACTTTTTTATTTGATTACAGAAAATTGCCGTTCAAAAATCTGAGAGAATTAAATCGATTGACTTGCATCCAACCGAACCATGGTAATGGATTTCTCTATTTATAATGTCTCATATATTCATTTTCTTAAATGGTTCGTATGTAAATATATTTAATAATTACGTCACTTTTTTTATCTAAAGGGTCTTGTTAGGTTTGCACTCTGGAAATGTTTCTATTTGGAACAATAACTCTCAAGTAAGCCATTATCGATTTATGTACTTGTTGTTTACATCACCGTTATCAAATGGGATTATAGATGTATGATAACAAAAAATAACGTATAAATATGTCCAAATATATATTCACGGGTAGCATCTTTTTTTGTAGGTAACAGAGAAGACTTTAGAAATCGGCAAATCACCTGGTACGCGGTTTTTGTTTTAAATGAATTTCATATGTTTGTCCTATAGTAAAAAAAATATGATAAATACATGATGTCTAATGTTCAAGCTTAATCATACTATTTTTTACTCAAATGACACTCTTATTTACTATCAATTTTTGATTGTGAAATATTGGTGGGTTCCTTTTTTATTACAAGTCTTTAGTGAAGTTGCTTGTATGTTGTGGAATCTAGTTATATTCACTTGTACTTTATGTATGTTTTGTAGTACGAACTGTAAAATTTATTGCGCACAAGGAATGGATTGTTGTTGGATCTGATGATGGGTTTCTTCGTGTGTACAACTATAACAATATGGAAAAGTGTCGTAGAACTGAAGGCACACACAGACTTTATTAGGTCGGTGGTTGTGCATCCATCTCTTCCATGCATACTTTCTGCATCTGACGATAAGCTCATAAAGCTATGGGATTGGGAGAAAGGTTGGGAATGCACTAAGACATTTGAGGGGCATGGACATTATGTCATGCAAGTAGCATTTACCCCGAAGGATTCCAATATGTTCGCAAGTGCATCACTCGATTGTACCATTAAGGTAGTATTAGCTTTCATCGTGCATCTTGATAATGTATACATACAACTAAAGATTCATGATTAGATAATATGATTCTAATGCTTTTATATGTTTCTCTTTCAAGATGTGGAATCTTGAATCATCAAGTCCGCATTTGTCAATGGAAGGTCATTCGAAAGGTTTGAACTCTGTGGAATTTTTTGAAACTGATGAAAAACTCTACTTTATTACTGGGTCTGATGATTATACTGCAAAGGTATGTCTATACAAAATTTATATTTTTATGTGATCAAAAGTAAACCAACCTTATACTAATATATAAACACTATTTAGGTTTGGGACTATGAAACCAAGACTTGTATTCAAACTCTTGAAGGACACACAAACAATGTTACATCTACAATATGTGTGAAATCGGACGTTAATTTTATCATCACCGGTTCTGAAGACAAAAGTGTACATGCTTGGAATGCGATAACTTACAAGTTAGATCATGTGTTTACTTCTGAACTCGGGAGAGTTTGGACCATTGGATTCATAAAAGACTCATCTCAGTAAGTTTCTTGTATTTTACATTTGACTTTCGATTGATATGATTATAAAACGCACAATTATTTTTATGTTAATAGGATTATACTTGGTTGCGATGAAGGAGTGCTCGTTGGTCAAGTCATCACTGCTTGTTCTTGAGCAAATCACAATTCATCTGATATACGGGTGGAATATAATATATTAATAAAATGCACACCTTTGTTATCTAATATTATGTATTTTAATGTGTGATGTATGATATATCTCAATATTGTATCTGTATGGTATGATGTATGAAACTTGAAAATAAAATGTTCTATCATTGGTTAAGGCTTTAATATGATCTTCGTTGTCTATCTATCAAAATTTATCTATTTCATATATTCCTTTTTGTCTAATCATTGATCATATGGTTGAGATTCCAAATTGTCATTGGTTTGAATATTATGTTATTTCGTAATACCTTCTAAAGTCAAAATAAATGATTATTCATATTGATAGCATGTATTTACTTTTTGACACATTCAACCAAAAAGTCAATATTAAAAAATAATAAACTTACGAAATCATAATGGGCCAAACTACCCGTAAAAGAAAACATAAAACATGAAGGACTTTGTGCCTGTTTATTGGGATAAATCACGAGATTTTTTCGTATATGTTTAGGCCCTAAAGTTTATAGGCGACCAAAGTCACCAACTTAATGATTTGGGACTTGACCTGGAACAGATTAAAAATGTTGAGTAAATTACACGAATGGTCCCTATGGTTTAGGGTAATTTGCACGTTTGGTCCCTAACTTATTTTTTTAACTCGGAAGGTCCCTACTATTTGTTTTTGTTATGCGCTTGGTCCCTACTGTTTGTATTTGTTACGCGTTTGGTCCCTATCTTACCTAAAAAAAATTATTATTTAAATAGATAAAAAATGGTGAGATAGGTAAGGTAAGATGAGGGGGTGGTGTTGGGGTGTGTTTATTTAAATAAATTAAAAAATCAAAGGCAAAATAGTCTTTTTAGGTAAAATAATGACCAAGCACGTAACAAAAACAAACAGTAGGGACCTTCCGAGTTAAAAAAATAAGTTAGGGACCAAAACGTGCAAATTACCCTAAACCATAGGGACCATTCATGTAATTTACTGAAAAATGTTTGTTTTTCATTCAAGGGAAAATGACTTAAAATGAAAATCAATAATTTGATATTTGCTTTTTAGGTCACATTAAGCTTTTAATTGTATTCGATAAGTAAACTTATTTTTTATTTTGGTTTTAAAATAACAATGATTATGATTTTTATCGATTAAAATGACAACAAACATCGTCATTACCCTTGCCACGTGTAACATCTGTTTTCTAGAATAGATCAAATGTGAGATTTTTGGGAAAAACCTTGTGTCGCGTCGTCATGGCATGCCAATTTCAAGAACGCGTGTTTTGATGGCCGCCACGATGTGGCAAAAGGAAGGCCACAACGTGGCAGCGACTGCAACCCAAGCCCATGATTTTTAGGATTTTCTTCATATTTAAACATCCAATCTCAAGGATTAGGTCATCTTCTTCAGCCTCCACCCCTCAGCACGAAACCCTAGCCTACATGCATGTTTGAGATCCTATCTTCTTGATTTAGAGCTTATTTTTTGGATTTTGGTGGAGCTGGAGGAATGAGTTGGTTTAGATACCCCATTCTCTTTTGATTTTTGAGCTATTTGAGGTATAAAATTCATACCTTGGAATTTCTTCTTATAGATTCAAGTTTGGGGTCATTTTTGGGTAGTTTTGGTCCCTTCCACTGATGCTCTTGGAGTTTGAGGAACCCCAAATCTTGTTATGGTCCTCTTGTGGTCTTTAAACTTCTGGTAATTGAGAAAGGAGTCTTAGTTAGAGTTACTTTGTGTCTATGTTCAAGATTTGGCCTCATTAAGGACTTATTGGATTTCGAAGTGTAGATCTTGCCTTGTGGTGGAGTCCTACTGGATAAAGTTGTAAACTTAATCCATTAAGTCATTGAAATGGACTAGATCTGAGATTATGGGTTTAGATATGTAAGGATTAAGCTGTTAATGAAGAATATGGCCTTCTGTCAGGGACCACGACGTGGCCAAGGGTTTGTCACGTCGTGGTAGAGTCTTGTATGTCGATTGTTTTGTCCTGACATGCCCACGACGTAGCCAAGAGGTCTCTATGTCATGGTGAGGGCTGACTTGATTGACCGTTGATCGTTGACTTTTGACCAGTTTGACTTTGGGTCAAACTTGAAGGATTTTGGTTATTAGTTAAGAATCTTCCTTTTATTCGATGATTGAACAGTTTTGAAGCATGTTCTACTGTTATGAATGAATATTTGTTTTACATGGTGAAACATCTGATATGTTTCATAATTATCCAAGACTTTCTACAAGTCAAGGGAGATCATTCCAGTATGATGTTAGACACATCAACATCATCACAATAATACTTCCATCAAAGCATCATGATCAGGCTGACTGGTTTATAGAGACTGTTCAGGTATGAGATATTTCAGTTTATATAAATTTTATTTATCCTTAAGAAAGAACCTCGAGGTATTATACTAGTTATAGAAATTATAACATCAAATGTTACTATCTGTTGAAACTCAACAAGAGAACAGGTTTTACTTGGGCGTAAGAGTATTAACAGTTATTAACAGAATTTAACAAAATTTCATTTACTATTTTCAATATTAAGTATGTAAAAATTAATACATTTTATTGTTTCTAAAACATTAATTTACTAAAGTTTAGGATCCAAGTAACGAAACAAGTGAATGGTATGTGACCCTTTATCCCATCCACTTAATCAAATCCGGTAGGTAGCGATTACCAATTTAATAAGATATGTAACTCCTAGATAATGTGATCCTAAACAATTGTTGTTATACTTGACATGTTTGATCTCATCTATGCCTTAGACCTCTTATGCTTAGGTTACCTTTATCACACAAGATTTCGATCAAGTATTTCTATTTGAAAGAACGTGTAGTATTGCAACAAACTAGTGACAAGGTGACCATTTTCGTCACTAGAAACTACAAAACTACCCCAGACATCATTAGACAACCCTTGTGGTTAGGTGGCCTATCGCCCACTGAGACCATATAAATAAATTCTGAGTGTTCTTCAAAATGATGATAATGACTTTCATTTTTAAGAAAATGTTATATATATATATATATATATATATATATATGTGTGTGTGTGTGTGTGTATGTGTGTGTGTGTGTTTTACAAAATATAGTTATAAAATACATGATATTATGAATATTGCATTCATCCAACAATTCATGTACCATTTTGTAAAAATCTTATCACTTTTTATATGGTTCTCTAGGTACCAAATAAAACTTTATTTTATTTACCATTAGTCGTGATCAATTATAAACTAAAATCCGATATTTTAAAGTCTAGTCGTAGAGAGGTTTTAAGAACCGGTAATATATAGTCTTTAATAAAATTTCATTTTATTCTTAAAACTTGAAGTTTTTGATGAGTTTTAAAATCACTATTTTAAATCTCATTTTAACAATCAAGATCTTATGACTTTATGAATTTGTAGAATAAACTCATTTTATTTTATAAACTCAATTTTATACATCTTATGAAAAAAACCAGATTTTGATAAACCAAAAAATTAGGTGATGATACTTATGTTTTAAATCTCATTTGGCGTGCATAAGACATAATATCAACATGTTGTGTTATGTTTAAAAACACTAATATCATATATTAAGTTTCGACGTAAAAATAACAACTTGTTTTATTATTTGTCGTTATAAAGTTTGTTTGTTTGAACGACTGCATTTTCATATATTCACATATTCTAGCGAATTGCTAGAATATAAAAAAAATGTTTCGAAAATTACAAAGGGGAATTAAGCCAAGCATTCCACATTACATCGGAATTGGAAGCTCGGTTTTTAAGCCAAGAAAACGAACTTAACACAATACTATCAAATAACGAGTTTTTCCTAATTTTACTTCCATCAAACAACGCCAAATTCATATACCTCCATAGCATCCAACAAGTAGCTAGCACAACCACTTCTAATCGTAGACGTTTTGATATCACCAACCTTTGATCATCCACACACGACATCCACTCAGTGATTGTCATATACATAGGGAAGATTATATCACACCATCTTGCAACCAAGGACCAAACCGTCACAGCTACTTCATAGAGAAAAAATAGATGTCCCGTCGATTCCACCCCAGCCCCACACAACGAACACAATATACTACTCAATTCCAACTTTTTTTTGATAAACTGAACTGAGTAGGCAGCCGATCTGTAACATCCCGAGTTCAGATATACCTCGTAACCCTTGGTCTTTTGAGTAATTGGCCATTTTAGTCCCTTTATGAGAAAAGGTGGTGAATGAGTACGCGGGACGTACGCGAGTGTACGCTCAACGTACTCATATGCGTGCATTTGACGCAGAAGCCACCTAGTACGCTGGGCGTACCAGAGGGTACGTTGGGCGTACTAGGCTCAAAGTGAAAACCCTAATTTAGGGTGAGACCCCTATTTAAAGGATATGATGGTCTCATTTGTAACATCCGGATTTCCAGGTATGCTATAAAGTTCATTTATCTTGAGTTTTATGGAGGGACTCGGCGAGTAGACGCTCAGACTCGCCGAGTAGGAGCGCACATTTCTTGTCTGATTTAATGAAGGACTCGACGAGTCGATGCGTGGACTCGGCGAGTCCGCGCTGTTAAGTGAAACCCTAATTCTCGGGGCCTGTGCCCTATTTAAAGGCCTTTATGGCCTCCATTTGCGGCCAATGCACCCCTGAGAAACCCTAGAGAGCAGAGAGAAAGCTGGTAGTGCAAGAGGAGGGCTAATTCATCATTCTAAGTATGATCTTGCAAGAAAGAAGGAAAGAGGACAAACAAGGAAGATTGAGGAGCTCAGATCTATCACCCATTTGATCAGAAGAGGCTGCTAGAGGTACTAATCTGTGCTCAATCTCGTGTATTTGGTGATCTACTTGAATCTAGGGTTTTCTTATGCCTTCTTTGGCTTGGATTCGAAGTATGTGAGGTCCCAAGGTGGAGTTCTTCTTAGATCTGGACCATAAGAGGTCCAGAGAGTCCTATCTACCTTGCTTTTTGCTACTCCATTAGAGATATGACCCTAGGATGCCATTCTAGAGGTTATTTCACCCAAAGGAGCTTATTGGACATTGCATGAGTGTAAAGGTCGGACCTTTACGTGATTATAGTGGTTGGGAAGGCCAGATCTATAGGTTAGAGAAGTCGATCTAACCTCAGAAGGTCATTTCAGTGTTGCCATGGATGCAACTCGCCGAGTCCATAATGGGACTC